GAGAGAGAGAGAGAGAGAGAGAGAGAGAGAGAGAGAGAGAGACCTGTGCAAATGAGCAATCAGAGAGGAGAGGGAGACGATGGTTCACGAGGGGGAGTGAGTTATAGATGCTGTGTGTGTGTGTGTGTGTGAGAGAGAGAGAGAGAGAGAGAGAGAGAGAGAGAGAGAGAGAGAGAGAGAGAGAGAGAGGAGATGTGTGCAAATTAGCAAGCAGAGGGGAGAGAGACGTAGATGGTTCTGGAGGGGACATGGAGAGGCCGGGGAGGGGAACACGCTGTTTCGCGTGTAAGAGATTTTTAGTCTTTTTAGTGACGAGAGTTCCGACTGTTTCAATTTTTACTGGAATGCTTTTTCTTTTGAATTTTTCTTTTCACCTTTTTTTAATTTGCGGGCGAACGTGTTGCGGAGGGAAGCGAAACAAGAGCTTAGGGGCTGATCGAATGTGATCGTGGGTTTCCATGTAATGCCCGTGAGTGAGTACGAGGCAGGTAGTAGATCCGTTATTTCGCGGTTTGCAGTTGTTCCTCGAGGAGGTTGGTTTCCATTTATATGTGCTTTTATTTAGTTCAATTACCCTTTTTTTTGGTTGCGTTTTCTTTCTTTGTTTTCCTGTCATCTGGCAGCGCTTATTGATTAGTGTCCTTCGTGTGTAAATTTAGGAAAGAGTGTTATGCTTTGCCGGTTTATGTCTGAGGTAAGGAGGGAGGGAGGACGGTTTGAAGTGAGGAGGGAGGGCGGTCCTCCTGCGCGTCCTCCTGTACAGTGTTTGGCACAGCTTGGGGGTGTTGCAGGTACGGAGGGAATTCGTAATTGGCTTTGCTCGTTCATAGGCAAGTCAATCCCTGTACCGAAGGAGAGGTGTTGCAAATGGCTGAATGCATCGGTTCATTATATGTAGCGAGAGGACTTGGGTCCATCACACCGTACCGGGACTGACCGAATGCATTCTTATGTTATGTGGTTATATGCGAGGCGGGCTTGTGAGTGGATTGTCACTCAGATGTCGGGGGGGGTGGGGGATGTCGGACGGAATCGTCCGTCCGCCTTTCGATTTGTTATGCCCATGCCCATCGAGAGAGAGAGAGAGAGAGAGAGAGAGAGAGAGAGAGAGAGAGAGAGAGAGAGAGAGAGAGAGAGAAGCTGGGCGTCGGTTTGTGTGACCGTCTGGAATACGCTTATGTTTGGGAGATATCAACTACGGAAGGTCAATCGAGCTTTGAGCTTTGAACGTTAAGACTTCTGGCGCTTGCGAACGAACAATTTATAATCGTCGTTCTTATGTCTATCAATTGGTATTCGTGTGGCGAACGCAGTCAGAATTATTTCGCGAATTGTAAATGTAAAACAACGAAGTTGTCACCTCTTGTCACATGTCCGCTATTTTTGCTCTTTTTCGTGTGTGTGTGTGTGTGTGTTGTGTGTGTGTGTGTGTGTGTGNTGTGTGTGTGTGTGTGAGAGAGAGAGAGAGAGAGAGAGAGAGAGAGAGAGAGAGAGAGAGAGAGAGAGAGAGATGAAAGCTTCCGTTTCCCCCTGTTTGAGCGGTAAGTGAGAGAGAGAGAGAGAGAGAGAGAGAGAGAGAGAGCTTCCGTTTTCCCCTGTTTGAGCGGTAAGTGAGACAGCGTGTGTGTGTGTGTGTGTGTGTGTGTGTGTGTGTGTGAGAGAGAGAGAGAGTGAGAGAGAGAACGCTTGAGAACGTTGGGCGCTCTTGCATATTTGCGTTGCACCAGGGGAGGGGGAAAAAAATGCATTCGAATGAAACGGTATCATATGTCGCTGTTCGGTCTGTCGTGTTGTGTGAATGCGAGGGAGTGGAAAAAAGAGTCGTCCAAATTGAGCGCTGTCACATGGGCAAAGGGCAAACCGCAGCATGCACACACACAAGGATGGATGCACGCAGTCACCCATGACAATTTCACGTGGTCCTGTTTTGTGCATGCAAATGCGCCTTTGGGCACTTTTTGGCGGAAAGGACTCGTTTCAATCAATGTTCTAATTATAGGCCGTCGTCATCGAACGGTTCTGAGGGCATACTCACACGGGGACCTGATGGCTTTACATCCCAAAATTTGAGGGAGTTTTGGGGTCGCATTGGAGAGGCCCGCCTACCCAAATCTACTTTTTGGTGACCTTTTTGTTTGCAGCCTGCGGGGCCGTGGAGGACCCTTCCTGAGACCACCTACAGAGGTGATCTCAAATAATCTTTTTGATTTCTTCTCTCCCTGAGGTATTTCAAGAAATTCGTGCATGAGCAAAACACCTGGCATCGTCACCCACTAGAGACGTTCTGCAATGACTTACCCACTAGAGACGTTTTGCAATGACTTGCTGGCGTTTTCAATCACGTGCGGGTGGGGCCTTTTGTGACACATACAGTCCGTGGATGGAGATTGATATCATATCCACGGGCCGCCTGTTTGTGAAACCGTGAAAGTTTCGTGGCGGGGGTGTCAACCAATCCGCGTTTTAGAAAGGCTTATTACTTCTTTTGATATTTTAAGCTATCTGTGTTCTAGAAAGGCTGGCTTCTTTTGAATTTTAAGCTTCTGATCGGACAGTGCGTAACTTAGGCAACTTTGTTAAGGAACGCGGATCCACTACTTTCCGAGAAATGAGGGCATGGGGCTTTGTTAAGGGTGCATTTATGGGTTGTGTACGTGCGCTTTGTTAGGGGTATGTTGTGCTTTGTTAGGGGTATGTTTATGGGTTGTGTATGTTTATGGGTTGTGTACGTGCGCTTTGTTAGGGGTATGCTGTGCTTTGTTAGGGGTACGTTTATGTAGTTCGTGATGAACGGCCCAACGGCGCTACACAAAATGGAGAACTTGAGCTCTACCCTACCGAGAAAGATGCCGTGAAAATGGTGAAAATGTGTCGGCCTTTTCAATGTGCACCTTTCCTCAGCAGGTAGGTCTGTGTCACCCACATCCGGAGGCCAGGCCATACGGTGGACCAGAGGAATGTCCGTCTCCGTAGAAGCCCAAAGAGACCTGCCGTGGTAGTTTGAGAAAGACCCATGGAACCCGCCTCTGTGGGGTCCCAGTTTGCTTTTCCGCCCCGCCTGACCCGCTGCCTTCTTTTTAGGAACTTTCGTGTTTTGTTGTCGTTTTATGTAACGTTGGATCAGCGCCTAATTCGAATTCCACTGGTCATCCGTTGCATTTTTGCCCTTTTTTGAGTCCTTGCTATGCTTCCTGGTTGCTCTCAGCCTTCATGAGATCGGCAAAACAGAAAAAATGACCTTCAGAGGATGCAGCCCATTGGGTGAGCGAAGAACTCGTCCTCAAAACAGGCGATGTTCACTGCCTCCTTGCCCATTGTTTGACAGGAGAAGCCAGAAAATGCTTTTGCTTTCTTTGACAGAAAAAAGAGATTTTAAAATGTGCAAAAATTGGAAAACCATTTTTAAATGTGAAAACAGCCTCACACATGCTGTACAACGCTTCGTACAACGCTGCTAGCCGCTAGTGGGTCCTGACCCCTGTGCGTGTTATTTCAGCATTCCAAAAAAATACAAAAACTGTATATACTTTTTGTGTAGCCAGTGTGACAATGGGGCTCGCGGGCACATAAAATGCCCGAGGACGTGATCGTTCCACCTATCCTCGCGGAAGATTTTTCAAAAAAAATGTGAAAACATTTCCTTGAGGAATCCTTGTAGCATCCTTGTGGCCCAGCCATTTGTTGCCCTAGTGCAAGGGACCTCATGAGGTCCCTCGGGGTTCGAGGATCCACGATAATCGGAGCGGCGAAGGCACGCGTCGGTGGCAGCTTCCTTTTTTGACCGGTCCATTTGGTGTTCCGCCAACGGGTGCACGGACATCTTCGGCCCCCGTCGGTCCTGCGCCCAACGGGTCCCCAACGGCTAACGTTGAAGGACAACCCGCGAGGGGCCCATGTAGCACTTGCGGCTCATGTTGCCATGCTCCCACGGGGTTTCCCACCAGCGTCGACGGGGTTCAACGGTTGGCAAAATTGAATATTTTGCCCAACCTGACTCCAGCAGCCCAACCAATGTCGGTGACGGATAACGTTACGGTGCATCTGTCGTATGCTGTCCTCTTCTGTTTGCCTCCTTCACTGTCGCTGTTTGGTGGACCACCACTATCATAGTCAAGTTGCGGCCCTGTCCTGCGTGTCGTTGGTGGCCGACCTCTATCGCAGGCTTCCTGTGCTGCTCCTGGTCGTTATTTTGCTTGTTGTCGTCGTCCTGTTCCACGTGTGCATCAGCCTTAAGGTGCCTGGCCGTACACGCAGAAGGCGTTCAGCGAAGAAGGGTGTCGACATGGACGACCGGCAGCCGAAGATCAGGGCGTTGCTCGACTCCCCCACCGCTCACCACGCGCAGCACAGCGGTGCTCGAAAGTCACAGCAGTACAATCCGTCTGCATACGCGCACTTTCCGTCGCACGAAATTCTGCTGCCGCTGACGGACGACGAGGCGGAGGAGGTAGGATCTCGCACCGTGGCGCTTGGGAGCGAATCGACGCAGGACTGGGCAGGGAGCCAGTTCCTTGGAAGTCGGCAAACAACGTCCCGACAATCGTACACATTTCTGCTCGAAGAAGGTATAGACGAGGAAGACGCACATGCCAACGTCAATCTGTCATTCAGATTCTCCGGCGTTGTTCGACTCCCCCACTGCTCACCACGCGCAGCACAGCGGTGCTCGAAAGTCACAGCAGTACGATCCATTTGCGTACGTGCACTTTCCGTTGCACGAAATTCCGCTGCCGCCGACGGACGACGATGCAGAGGAGGTAGGATCTCGCACCGTGGCGCTCGGGAGCGGATCGACGCAAGATTGGGCGGGGAGCCAGTTCCTTGGAAGTCGGCAAACAGCGTCCCAACAATCTTACACACAACGCTTGACGAAGGTATAGACGAGGAAGACGCACATGCCAACGTCAATCTGTCGTTCGGACTATGTAGCGGGAGCTCAGAGGCGACGAAACGTACGCGCGTCATCAATCTCCACCCTCACGGCGATTGGGGTGATGCTGCGCTCGTCGATTGATCGGGCGAGGGGTCGTCCGTTGGATTGCCGGCAGCAGAGAAGACGAGGGACCGACACTGCCTGCAGTCAAAGTCGGGGCTGGCAACACGCCCCGAAGTCGTTCGTTCGCAGCGGGTGCAATTGCCATCGCCATTGCTGGGAGGTCAGGTGACTGGGAGGCGCTTGGGTGGGGGCGGAGTGGATGCCAGATGCGCAGTCGACGTCGATGAGCGGACGGGTCGGCAGCTGTGGGCAGAACATCGGCAGCAGCTTCGTGGAGATGATGAAGATGCGATAACGATGGGGTTTTGGCAGCTCCATGTCGGTGGAAGCAACGCAGATAAAGAGGCGGCGGTGGAAGTAGACGATTTCAAAAACATCGACGAGGAAGACGAAGACGACGAAGAGGCCGCTATGGACATTCAGCCTGTGGGCAGGACATCCATGGCTATGTGACACTAGGCCGCGGGCATTTCGGCCGCTGCGGCCGAGAATCTCGGCCGCAGCCACGGCCGATGAGGCCGAATCCACGACCTGGTTTTTTAATATTTTTTTTCGACCCCTACAAATACGTGAAAAACAAATAAAAAAATATGGGGGTGTAGGGATTGGAAAACCCTACACTCCTGTATTTCTTTTTTTTGGAATCCGACTTTGTTTAGGATTTTTAAAAAATCAAAAACTAAATTGGATTTAAACGAAATATTTCTATTTGACGATATATATATAAAGAAAAGCAGGAAATTTATTTTGTCATTTTTTATCATGAGATATATGGTGCCTGAGTTGACCTGTATTTGTTTTTTTGCAGGGAAATGAGGTGTTTTAAAAAAATGCAGATGCAAAATTAAAAAAAAAAAAAAAAAAAGGGTTTGATTGATTGATTGATTGATTGATTGATTGATCGAGTGT